TTTATTTTATTTATTTTATTTTATTTTATTTTATTTTATTTTATTTTATTTTACTGTTTACCTTCCCACTGGAGTGGTACCTATTTATCTACTTGCACTTCGATGTGCTTTCGAACTGCTAGGTTGGCAGGAGCAGGGACCAAGCAACGGGAGCTCACCCCGTTGCGGGGATTCGAACTGCTGACCTTCTGATCGGCAAGCCCTAGGCTCTGTGGTTTAACCCACAGCGCCACCCGCATCCCTAGGATGGGTTAGAACCACATAAAATTACCAGTAAAAGCACTCATACCATCCAGTCCACAGAAGGACACAGCTGGTGAAATATCAAAATAGAACAACACTGTTTAAAAATATTTTAATATGCATGATGGCTCTTCCCTTGCTGCATGAGGCTGACTGAATTTATAACCTTCAAAAGGCTGAGTAAATAAATATGTTGTAAGTTGGCTCCGAAATGAAAACAGAGTTGGCACCAGCTGTAAAGGGCAAAGGGCCCCTGGATGGTTAAGTCCAGTCAAAGGCGACTATGGGGTGTGGTGCTCATCTCGCTTTTAGGCCGAGGGAGCCAGCGTTTGGCCACAGACAGCTTCCGGGTAATGTGCCCAGCAGGAATAAACCGCTTCTGGCACAACAGAACACCATGATGAAAACCAGAGTGCACGGAAATGCTGTTTACTGCCGCAGTAGTACCTATTTATCTACTTGCCCTGGCGTGCTTTCGAACTGCTAGGCTGGAAGGAGCTGGGACAGAGTAACAGGAGTTCACCCCATTGCGTGGATTTGAACCGCCAACTTTTGGATGTGGCGCACACAGGATGAAAAGGGAAAAGCTATTGTTCCTCACTTGGAGCCTTTTTTTGGAAGTTAAATAATATAATAACACAAATAGAAATCATTAAGAGTGCAGCTGTTAATTATGTGATAATTTTGAAAAATGGAATGTAACAGAAATAAATAAGAATAAAGACCCATAAAGAACGGTGTGCGGGAAGCCTCTTAACAAAATTGCATTAATTTGGAATTAATTTGTGTAATTGGGTTTATACTGGAAAATAATAAAAAAATAATTGGCAGATTTTATTTAGAAAAATGCATAAACTACTTTGTAAAAAACTCTAGGTGGCATACATGAAACTATATAAAATAATTATATCAATAACAGACATAAAAGAATATACTAAATTATATGTGGTAAAGGTAAAGGGACCCCTGACCGTTAGGTCCAGTCGCGGACGACTCTGGGGTTGCGGTGCTCATCTCGCTTTACTGGCCGAGGGAGCCGGCGTACAGCTTCCGGGTCATGTGGCCAGCATGACTAAGCCGCTTCTGACGAACCAGAGCAGCTCACGGAAACGCCGTTTGCCTTCCCACCGGAGCGATACCTATTTATCTACTTGCACTGGCGTGCTTTCGAACTGCTAGGTTGGCAGGAGCAGGGACAGAGCAACAGGAGCTCACCCCATTGCGCGGATTCGAACCGCTGACCTTCTGATCAGCAAGCCCAAGGGGCTCAGTGGTTTAGACCCCAGTGCCACCCGCGTTCCTACTGGCATCAGCTGTACCTCAAAGGGGAGCCATAAATCAGAACAGGTGGATTTGTGCATACAGATACATAGGGCTGGCCCAACCCTGAGACATAGTGAGGCGACTGCATCAGGCGACACAGTGCCCAGGCGCAGCAGATCCTAATGTTCCTGACGTAGATCTTCACCTACCCCTTCTTCCCTGGCAGGGAGGGGCGCGCCATTTTGGGGTTCACCTCAGGTGCAAAATGTCTTGGCCCTGCAGGTGTACATGCATAATGCACCTCCATGAGTACAAGAACCTATGGCCATTCAAAAGGTAATAAACCTTACAAGTTGCTTCTAAACTTTGTCAGCGTGTCAGATTACAGTGGTACCTCAGGATGCAAATAGGATCCATTCCAGAGCCCCGTTCGCATCCTGAGTAGAATGTAAGATGCGATAGCACGTGTGCGCGTGCGCGGGTTGCGTTTTGCCACTTCCACGCATGTGCATGATGTCATTTTGAGCATCTGCGCATGCGCGAGCAGCGAAACCCAGAAGTAACGTGCTCCATTACTTCCAGGTTGCTGCAGAGCGCAACCTGAAAGCGCTCAACCTGAAGCACATTCAACCCAAGGTATGACTGTACAACATTTTACAGGTAGCAGCACGAGGAACAGTTTTTATTGCAGGACATGGACCTTTCCCAATTTTTACTATACAACCTCCCATTTTAGTAGGGAAAGAAACATGTGCATCTACTTCAGTTACAAGATGATAAAATAATCTCTGAGATTGTAAAGTTATTGCCCACAATAAGTTTTCTATAAATGCTTCATGCCTTAGTACTTTTAGTATGAGATTTTGCTGCTGGTTGTAAGGAAACAAATTCGTAATTAACTAGGGTATTCTGAATTACAAAACTACTCACTAATTTCTTCGCGAATGCTGTTTCTAGTAATGTTTTGATTGCTGTGTAAATTAATAATAACAATTTAATATTGTTAATTGTATTGGCATAACCAATTTAGATTAATGTCGAAACACTTCCATAAACTTACTTGCTGGATTGCAGACATCTAACCTTACATTTAAGCACTCGCATATAGGATTGTTATTATTTTGCACCTCAGGAACGAAAATTGATTAATTAAATGTTTAGGGAAGAGATTTCAGTTGCATAAAGTAAAAGTGATTGACTTAACTCTACTGCAAGTATATCTGTGGTATACCTGAAGTCTCCTAAAGTACTATCCTACAGTTGAATTACTATGTGACATGATCAGGTGATTTTTTTTCACATTGAGTTTGTTTGTTTGTTTATAAAACTAGATATTGGCAGGATGGAGGATGGATGACGGCTAACAGATTGAGGTTGAATCATGACAAGACAGAAGTACTTTTCTTGGGGGACAGGGGGCGGGCGGATGTGGGGGACTCCCTGGTCATGAATGGGGTAACTGTGCCCCTGAAGGACCAGGTGCGCAGCCTGGAAGTCATTTTGGACTCACAGCTGTCCATGGAAGCACAGGTTAATTCTGTGTCCAGAGCGGCTGTCTATCAGCTCCATCTGGTATGCAGGCTGAGACCCTACCTGCCCGCGGACTGCCTCGCCAGAGTGGTGCATGCTCTGGTTATCTCCCGCTTGGACTACTGCAACGCGCTCTACATGGGGCTACCTTTGAAGGTGACCCGGAAACTGCAATTAATCCAGAATGTGGCAGCTAGACTGGTGACTGGGAGTGGCTGTCAGGACCATATAACACCAGTCCTGAGAGATCTGCATTGGCTCCCAGTAAGTTTCTGAGCACAATTCAAAGTGTTGGTGCTGGCCTTGAAAGCCCTAAACGGCCTTGGTCCTGTATACCTGAAGGACCACCCCCATCATCCAGCCCGGACACTGAGGTCTAGCGCAGAGGGCCTTCTGGCGGTTCCCTCATTGCGAGAAGTGAGGTTACAGGGAACCAGGCAGAGGGCCTTCTCGGTAGTGGTGCCCACCCTGTGGAACACCCTCCCTTCAGATGTCAAGGAAATAAGCAGCTATCCTATTTTTAAAAGACATCTGAAGGCAGCCCTGTTTAGGGAAGTTTTTAATATTTAATGCTGTATTGTTTTAACACTCGATTGGGAGCCGCCCAGAGTGGCTGGGGAAACTCAGCCAGATGGGCGGGGTATGTATGTATGTATGAATGTATGTATAAATAAATAAATAAATATTAATTACCCTCATAAAATATCAGAATGGCAATAAAAATGTTGTCTTGTGGTCAGTAAGAAGCTGCGGTGACTTAGCAAAATGTTTTAAGACTTGAATTTATTCTGATGTGGCAGATGTTTGCTTTGACCATGTGAGAACGCATACAAACTGCAGAAGATTTGTTGATAAATTTGGCAGCTCCTGAAACGCCCACCAAGTTGTGCACATGCAGAAAGCCTTTGCCCATCATTGGCCCAATGTGTGAAGACCCCGAGGCAGTTGACGCGTCGGGTTTGGCAGTCCCAGTTCTCATTGTGGCGGCGGCACTATTTCATTTTTTTTTTAAAAAATGATATTTATTCCAAGTTTAAAATTACAAAAAAGAGAAAGAAAAACAATACAAAATACAAAGAAAAGTTTAACCATAACAAAGCGAGAAACAACAAGAAAAAAGTGAACAATAAAATAGAATAAAAAAGAAGACGAAACAGAAAATATAAAAATGCATTGAGTTAGAATAGAACAAAAACAGATTAAACCTTTATATAACCTTTTCCCTTTACTTATTTCCATGACCTCCTCTCACCTCCCAATTTTGTATTCTAGTTCAGATCGTATTTCCAGCAAATCCTTCTAACCTTATTTTCTTTTACGTATTTTAATTTAAAATAATGTAATTAAACATCCTCTATTTCATCAATTTCATCAACTCATTTTTGCTTAATCCTTTATATCATATCTACCAAAACGACCTAATTTTCTTTTTCCAGCATCTTTCTAACAGTCTTTTATATTACAATATTTTTGAAGATATATTTTGATTTTTTTCCCATTCTTCTTCCATCGACCCTTCTCCCTGGTCTCGAATTCTGCCAGTCATCTCAGCCAGTTCCATGTAGTCCATCACTTTCATCTGCCATCGTGGCGGCACTATTTCAGACAGTGTTTTCTCTGGGCCACACTTTCAGAATAAAAATTTGCTCATGCCACACTGATTTTTTTAATTGCTAAGAAATACACAACATTACAATAGGATTGTCCTCAGCATCACTTGATGCTCTTGCTTTCTTTTTGAATAGATATCAGGGGAGGAATATTTTGAAACGATGCAATACAATACCATACTGAAATGCTTAAATGTTTCTTTGATTGCCGTTGCATATTCCCGCCACACTTGCCATCCTCTCATGCCACACCCTTTGAGAACCACTGCTTTTGAACATCGCCATCACAGCAACTGTCTGAGCCCCAGATCTGTTGGGGTGTTTGTGTTGCTCTGTTTCTTTTACAGAGAGCCAGCGTGGTGTAGTGGTTAAGAGCGACAGACTCTTAATCTAGTGAACTGGGTTCGATTCCCTGCTCCTCCACATGCAGCTGCTGGGTGACCTTGGGCTAGTCACACTTCTCTGAAGTCTCTCAGCCCCACTCACCTCACAGAGTGTTTGTTGTGGGGGAGGAAGGGAAAGGAGAATGTTGGCTGCTTTGAGACTCCTTTGGGTAGTGATAAAGCGGGATATCAAATCCAAACTCCTCCTCCTCCTCCTACAGAGGTTGAGGGAGAGACTGGGAGGATACAAGGCTGGGCTTGCTCCATAGTGGAATGCTGGCACCAGAACCGTCACTATAGATTCATTGTCCCTTAAAAAATCAGCAATCTTTACATAAATCTACCTTGCTAAATTTCTCCTGGATTTTAGGGCTCCAAATTTAGCAGTGGCCAGGATCATCCTGGGATTCTGTTTGCCAGTAAGTGTATTTACAGAATTTGTGCTACAAGTAGTCATATGTGGATTCACACAGGACGGGAAGATGTTAGTTCATTGAACTAAGTTCTCTGAAAATTTGAATTCAAAATTTGAAAAAGTACAAAGACTGGAGTTTGTCTTCTGTGGAAGTACAGATTTCAAATGTCTTAAAACAGATATATTTTCTGGGGTTGAAGCAATGTTGCACTGCACACCTTCAGAAATATTTGTGTGTGTGTGTGTGTGTTTATCTCTAGATAGGTAGGTATGTATTAGTTTACCAGGAAGTTCTATAAAAAAGGCTGTAGGGGGAAAATAGTAATGCAATATTAATTAATTATTTAATTTTAAAAGCCCTGCTTCCCAAGAAGATAATACACCTTCTGTAATTTATTTATTTATTTTAAAAAATGGTTTCTGCCACAGTATATCAGGGAAGGGAAAGCTTTTTTTAAAAAAAACACATTCTGGACTGCAGGTGTAGTGTAGAAAAAAAATTGAAGGAAACTTCAAAAGGAGAAAATGTGCTGCAAGCAAATCGTGAGGGTACATGTGCAAATCCATTATTTGCAGTCCAAAACTCTCCTTTCTCGCTGGCGGGGAAAGCAGCGTGAAACCCGAGGCATAATGGAACGGTGGACTAATAATAAGGTAGGACTGGGGGAACTCATTCATCATTAGTAAAATCCTGTTTTCAGAAAGCTTTGTCTGTAAGCTGATTCGTTTGGATTTTTGAAGGACCGCAGTTGTCCTTTATGCAGGCGGTGCCTCGCTCTTTGTTGATAAACTTGAAATTAGAGTACTTTTACCATGCAATACTGTGGGACGTGGATGGCGCTGTGGCTTAAACCACAGAGCCTAGGACTTGCTGATCAGAAGGTCGGCGGTTCGAATCCCTGCGACGGGGTGAGCTCCCATTGCTCGGTCCCAGCTCCTGCCAACCTAGCAGTTTGAAAGCACATCAAAGTGCAAGTAGATAAACAGGTACCGCTCCAGCGGGAAGGTAAACGGTGTTTCGGTGCGCTGCTCTGGTTCGCCAGAAGCGGCTTAGTCATGCTGGCCACATGACCCAGAAAAACTGTCTGCGGAAAAACGCCGGCTCCCTTGGCCTGTAAAGCGAGATGAGCGCCACAACCCCAGAGTCGTCTGCGACTGTCCTGGGTCCTTTACCTTTACCTTTTAGTGCTGGACTGCTGTTGTAACAATGCATTCGTGTTCTTTTTTGCTGCCATGTTGTGAGACGCCTTGGGCACATTTATGTGGAATAGCAGCTTACCAATTAAAAAATAAGTAACTAAACGTCTGTGAGTGACCTGGGGGTGAGGGGGAGGTCTTTTTGGCCAGAAGGTGCCTTTGAAATCAACTTCAGCTAACTGTGCATAGGAAAGCAGCCTTGGACTCCTTTCGTCGCCTCTCCCGATTAATAGGGCAAAATCAGAACCAATTTCTTTGGGAATAAATACCCCACTACCCTTCTCTGTATTCTAGCTAGAAATTTAAGGGCTGGTGTCCCAATGGAAGATTCTCTCCCAGGCACAATAGATTTTTGCCTAGCCATGATAGAGTAGGAAATTATTCCCGCTCTCTATGATATCTCTCCTGCTGCACCGGCTGCTTAGAGGTTTAGAAGATTCACCAAGCTTGATGTGACACATTCAGGATCACATCTAATCAGGCCCTGATTTAAAATGATTACCCTTGTTGGATTGTTCCACTGGGTGGCCGGGGACACTTCTCAATTTCACATATAAAGAGGGAGGAATAGAAAGCCAGTGTGGGGTAATAGTTAGGGTGTTGGACTATGATCAAGGAGACCAGGGTTCAAATCCCCCCTTTGTCATAAAGCTCATTGGGTGACCTTCGGCCAATGATGATGATGATGATGATGATGATAATAATAATAATAATAACAATTTTATTATTTATACCCCACCCATTTGGCTGGGTTTCTCCAGCCACTGCGGGCAACTTACAGCATATATAAGGTAAAAGTAAAGGACCCCTGACAGTTAAGTCCAGTCGCGGACAACTCTGGGGTTGCGGTGCTCATCTCGTTTGACTGGCTAAGGGAGCCGATGCTTGTGCGCAGAGAGATTTTCCGGGTCATGTGGCCAGCATGACTGAGCCGTTTCTGGTGAATACAGAGCAGTGCACAGAAATGCCGTTTACCTTCCCACCGGAGCGGTACCTATTTATCTACCTGCACTTTGACGTGCTTTTGAGCTGCTAGGTTGGCAGGAGCAGGGACCGAGCAACGGGAGCTCACCCCGTCACAGGGATTTGAACCGCCGACCTTGTGATCGGCAAGCCCTAGGCTCTATGGTCTAGACCACAGCGCCACCCGCGTCCCACAGCATATATAAAACATAGTAAAACATCAAACAATAAAAACTTCCTGATACAGGGCTGCCTTCAGATGTCTTCTAAAAGTTATGTAGTTCTTTATCTCCATCTCTTCACCTAACCTACTTCCCAGAGTTATCGCGAGGATGAACTGAGGAGGAGAACAACGTATAGCACCTTGAGCTCCTTGGAAGAGATGAAAGAAAGAATTTTACTTCGAATATTTCTACCTTGAAATAAATTTTCAAGATTTGCTCTTGCTCTGCCCCTCCTTTCAAACCAGATAGGTAAAGGACACATTTAAATGGGTGGCTAACAGTTTTATTATAGCTTATTTGTGAAACATCTCTCTTTTTGGCCCAATATAATGTCGCCTTTCATAGAGCAGGAGCCAGTTTAACACACACACACCAGGATGAGAATCACTTCTGTGGTGGAAGCAGCGAGCACATATAAGGCATTATATGAGCTGAGGGGCTGGGGTAACCCAGTCAGATGGGCGGGGTACAAATAATAATAAAACTTTATTATTACTGAGTGCTTCAGACTTAGGTTTCACTTTCATGATCTTTCCAGTGGAGCAACCAAGACATACCATGATAAAGCAATTTTGCACATGCTGGTTTTATTTTTATTTTTACACACACACCTTTTAAAGGGCTAGGTTCAGCATGCAGGACGTGCTAAATTGGGGACTCCCAAAGTCAGCTCCCAGGTAACCATTTTGGTATCCAGACCCAGCAATTTGGGTTTCAAATCAGGGGTGGCTTATACAGTTAAAAGGCAGGATAAGACACAAACTAATGAACACTAAGTTCTTATATAGCTTCGCATCAACTTTTCTACTGGTAATTAAGGTACTGTAACATACAGGTGGTTGTGAATTTCAAATGGGACCTGTGCTTTTTTCCAATGCTTTTCAGACAGAATCGTTCCTACCTGTCAAGCATAGCTTCATACCAGGAAAGCAGAAGCCGAGTTTGTCATTCAGGCTAATTGGACTTGTGTACCATTATCCTTTTCCTCATGTCATGCAAGATGTTCTAGAAGACAGAAGTCTATTGGAAATTAACCTAACAAGTGTGAATTACCTTGCCAAGATTCTAGTCTTCCCCTTGCAGTGGCTGATACAGACTGAATCTAATTCACCTCTGTTACCACATCATATTAAGCCGATGTCACTTTTATTTTACCTAGTTATTCATTTATTTGAAGTGACTGCATAAAAATAACAGAGGGCCCAATTCATCTGTGGACAATAATTTTGGAATTGTGTGTTTAATCTTGCCATGGTTTAAGTTTCACACACACACACACCCCTGCTGTAATTTAAATGTTTGCATCTATATTATAACTTTGAACTCTTTCAGCAGGTGGAATCTTCTTCGGAGGAATGAAATGTTTGTTTTGCTTTTTTTCATTTATGCTGGACGGCCTGCAGAAAAAACGTTTTAGAATAACTGAAGATGTAAAACTGTATATACCGTATTTTTCGCCCTATAAGACGCACTTTTTCCCCTCCAAAAATGAAGGGGAAATGTGTGTGCGTCTTATGGGGCGAATGCAGGCTCCTTGGCTTCAGCGATAGCAACGCGAAGCCTCCCAAGCCTGCGCTCCAGAGGCTTTGCGTTGCTTCTGCTGAAGCCAGGAGAGTCTGCTCTTTGAGGCTGGCGGTGGGGGAAAGCAGCGCTTCCCCCATCGCCAGCCCCAGAGGATGGGGGGCAGCGGGAAGGCGCGCAAAGCCTTCCTGCTACTCTCCAACCCGGCTTGGAGGCTGGCGGTGGGGGAAAGCAGGCTTTTCCCCAAGGAGGGAGAAGGGACTGACTGGCGCAGTCCGTCCCTTCTCGCTCCTGTGAGCTTTTGCGGGAGATGGGGGAATTCCCCCACCTCCTGTAAAAGCAGGCAAAAGCCGTGCGCTCTTTAAAGCGGCTGCGTGGCTTCTGCTGGCTTTTCTAGGAGGTGGGGGAATTCCCCCACCTCGTAGAAAAGCCCGTAGGAGCCGCGCAGCCTTTAAAGAGCGCGCCGCTCTTGGGGGCTTTTCCCCAAGGAGGGAGAAGGGACTGACTGGCCGTTTCAGTCCCTTCTCCCTCCTGGTCGAAAAGCCCGCAGGAGCTCACTGGGTCCTGTGGGCTTTGCGGGAGGTGGGGAATTCTGCCACCTCCCGCAAAAGCAGGAAGAAGGTCTTGGAGTAGCGCACAGGCTGCGTGCAGCCTGTCCGCTGCTCCCAGAGCTGCGGGGCGGAAATCATATTTTTTTCCTTGATTTCCCCCCCTGAAAAC